CAAGGGTGAAAGGGTGAAACAGGGGGAGCAAGGGTGAAACAGGGGGAGCAAGGGTGAAACAGGGGGAGCAAGGGTGAAACAGGGGGAGCAAGGGTGAAACAGGGGGAGCAAGGGTGAAACAGGGGGAGCAAGGGTGAAACAGGGGGAGCAAGGGTGAAACAGGGGGAGCAAGGGTGAAACAGGGGGAGCAAGGGTGAAACAGGGGGAGCAAGGGTGAAACAGGGGGAGCAAGGGTGAAACAGGGGGAGCAAGGGTGAAACAGGGGGAGCAAGGGTGAAACAGGGGGAGCAAGGGTGAAACAGGGGGAGCAAGGGTGAAACAGGGGGAGCAAGGGTGAAACAGGGGGAGCAAGGGTGAAACAGGGGGAGCAAGGGTGAAACAGGGGGAGCAAGGGTGAAACAGGGGGAGCAAGGGTGAAACAGGGGGAGCAAGGGTGAAACAGGGGGAGCAAGGGTGAAACAGGGGGAGCAAGGGTGAAACAGGGGGAGCAAGGGTGAAACAGGGGGAGCAAGGGTGAAACAGGGGGAGCAAGGGTGAAACAGGGGGAGCAAGGGTGAAACAGGGGGAGCAAGGGTGAAACAGGGGGAGCAAGGGTGAAACAGGGGGAGCAAGGGTGAAACAGGGGGAGCAAGGGTGAAACAGGGGGAGCAAGGGTGAAACAGGGGGAGCAAGGGTGAAACAGGGGGAGCAAGGGTGAAACAGGGGGAGCAAGGGTGAAACAGGGGGAGCAAGGGTGAAACAGGGGGAGCAAGGGTGAAACAGGGGGAGCAAGGGTGAAACAGGGGGAGCAAGGGTGAAACAGGGGGAGCAAGGGTGAAACAGGGGGAGCAAGGGTGAAACAGGGGGAGCAAGGGTGAAACAGGGGGAGCAAGGGTGAAACAGGGGGAGCAAGGGTGAAACAGGGGGAGCAAGGGTGAAACAGGGGGAGCAAGGGTGAAACAGGGGGAGCAAGGGTGAAACAGGGGGAGCAAGGGTGAAACAGGGGGAGCAAGGGTGAAACAGGGGGAGCAAGGGTGAAACAGGGGGAGCAAGGGTGAAACAGGGGGAGCAAGGGTGAAACAGGGGGAGCAAGGGTGAAACAGGGGGAGCAAGGGTGAAACAGGGGGAGCAAGGGTGAAACAGGGGGAGCAAGGGTGAAACAGGGGGAGCAAGGGTGAAACAGGGGGAGCAAGGGTGAAACAGGGGGAGCAAGGGTGAAACAGGGGGAGCAAGGGTGAAACAGGGGGAGCAAGGGTGAAACAGGGGGAGCAAGGGTGAAACAGGGGGAGCAAGGGTGAAACAGGGGGAGCAAGGGTGAAACAGGGGGAGCAAGGGTGAAACAGGGGGAGCAAGGGTGAAACAGGGGGAGCAAGGGTGAAACAGGGGGAGCAAGGGTGAAACAGGGGGAGCAAGGGTGAAACAGGGGGAGCAAGGGTGAAACAGGGGGAGCAAGGGTGAAACAGGGGGAGCAAGGGTGAAACAGGGGGAGCAAGGGTGAAACAGGGGGAGCAAGGGTGAAACAGGGGGAGCAAGGGTGAAACAGGGGGAGCAAGGGTGAAACAGGGGGAGCAAGGGTGAAACAGGGGGAGCAAGGGTGAAACAGGGGGAGCAAGGGTGAAACAGGGGGAGCAAGGGTGAAACAGGGGGAGCAAGGGTGAAACAGGGGGAGCAAGGGTGAAACAGGGGGAGCAAGGGTGAAACAGGGGGAGCAAGGGTGAAACAGGGGGAGCAAGGGTGAAACAGGGGGAGCAAGGGTGAAACAGGGGGAGCAAGGGTGAAACAGGGGGAGCAAGGGTGAAACAGGGGGAGCAAGGGTGAAACAGGGGGAGCAAGGGTGAAACAGGGGGAGCAAGGGTGAAACAGGGGGAGCAAGGGTGAAACAGGGGGAGCAAGGGTGAAACAGGGGGAGCAAGGGTGAAACAGGGGGAGCAAGGGTGAAACAGGGGGAGCAAGGGTGAAACAGGGGGAGCAAGGGTGAAACAGGGGGAGCAAGGGTGAAACAGGGGGAGCAAGGGTGAAACAGGGGGAGCAAGGGTGAAACAGGGGGAGCAAGGGTGAAACAGGGGGAGCAAGGGTGAAACAGGGGGAGCAAGGGTGAAACAGGGGGAGCAAGGGTGAAACAGGGGGAGCAAGGGTGAAACAGGGGGAGCAAGGGTGAAACAGGGGGAGCAAGGGTGAAACAGGGGGAGCAAGGGTGAAACAGGGGGAGCAAGGGTGAAACAGGGGGAGCAAGGGTGAAACAGGGGGAGCAAGGGTGAAACAGGGGGAGCAAGGGTGAAACAGGGGGAGCAAGGGTGAAACAGGGGGAGCAAGGGTGAAACAGGGGGAGCAAGGGTGAAACAGGGGGAGCAAGGGTGAAACAGGGGGAGCAAGGGTGAAACAGGGGGAGCAAGGGTGAAACAGGGGGAGCAAGGGTGAAACAGGGGGAGCAAGGGTGAAACAGGGGGAGCAAGGGTGAAACAGGGGGAGCAAGGGTGAAACAGGGGGAGCAAGGGTGAAACAGGGGGAGCAAGGGTGAAACAGGGGGAGCAAGGGTGAAACAGGGGGAGCAAGGGTGAAACAGGGGGAGCAAGGGTGAAACAGGGGGAGCAAGGGTGAAACAGGGGGAGCAAGGGTGAAACAGGGGGAGCAAGGGTGAAACAGGGGGAGCAAGGGTGAAACAGGGGGAGCAAGGGTGAAACAGGGGGAGCAAGGGTGAAACAGGGGGAGCAAGGGTGAAACAGGGGGAGCAAGGGTGAAACAGGGGGAGCAAGGGTGAAACAGGGGGAGCAAGGGTGAAACAGGGGGAGCAAGGGTGAAACAGGGGGAGCAAGGGTGAAACAGGGGGAGCAAGGGTGAAACAGGGGGAGCAAGGGTGAAACAGGGGGAGCAAGGGTGAAACAGGGGGAGCAAGGGTGAAACAGGGGGAGCAAGGGTGAAACAGGGGGAGCAAGGGTGAAACAGGGGGAGCAAGGGTGAAACAGGGGGAGCAAGGGTGAAACAGGGGGAGCAAGGGTGAAACAGGGGGAGCAAGGGTGAAACAGGGGGAGCAAGGGTGAAACAGGGGGAGCAAGGGTGAAACAGGGGGAGCAAGGGTGAAACAGGGGGAGCAAGGGTGAAACAGGGGGAGCAAGGGTGAAACAGGGGGAGCAAGGGTGAAACAGGGGGAGCAAGGGTGAAACAGGGGGAGCAAGGGTGAAACAGGGGGAGCAAGGGTGAAACAGGGGGAGCAAGGGTGAAACAGGGGGAGCAAGGGTGAAACAGGGGGAGCAAGGGTGAAACAGGGGGAGCAAGGGTGAAACAGGGGGAGCAAGGGTGAAACAGGGGGAGCAAGGGTGAAACAGGGGGAGCAAGGGTGAAACAGGGGGAGCAAGGGTGAAACAGGGGGAGCAAGGGTGAAACAGGGGGAGCAAGGGTGAAACAGGGGGAGCAAGGGTGAAACAGGGGGAGCAAGGGTGAAACAGGGGGAGCAAGGGTGAAACAGGGGGAGCAAGGGTGAAACAGGGGGAGCAAGGGTGAAACAGGGGGAGCAAGGGTGAAACAGGGGGAGCAAGGGTGAAACAGGGGGAGCAAGGGTGAAACAGGGGGAGCAAGGGTGAAACAGGGGGAGCAAGGGTGAAACAGGGGGAGCAAGGGTGAAACAGGGGGAGCAAGGGTGAAACAGGGGGAGCAAGGGTGAAACAGGGGGAGCAAGGGTGAAACAGGGGGAGCAAGGGTGAAACAGGGGGAGCAAGGGTGAAACAGGGGGAGCAAGGGTGAAACAGGGGGAGCAAGGGTGAAACAGGGGGAGCAAGGGTGAAACAGGGGGAGCAAGGGTGAAACAGGGGGAGCAAGGGTGAAACAGGGGGAGCAAGGGTGAAACAGGGGGAGCAAGGGTGAAACAGGGGGAGCAAGGGTGAAACAGGGGGAGCAAGGGTGAAACAGGGGGAGCAAGGGTGAAACAGGGGGAGCAAGGGTGAAACAGGGGGAGCAAGGGTGAAACAGGGGGAGCAAGGGTGAAACAGGGGGAGCAAGGGTGAAACAGGGGGAGCAAGGGTGAAACAGGGGGAGCAAGGGTGAAACAGGGGGAGCAAGGGTGAAACAGGGGGAGCAAGGGTGAAACAGGGGGAGCAAGGGTGAAACAGGGGGAGCAAGGGTGAAACAGGGGGAGCAAGGGTGAAACAGGGGGAGCAAGGGTGAAACAGGGGGAGCAAGGGTGAAACAGGGGGAGCAAGGGTGAAACAGGGGGAGCAAGGGTGAAACAGGGGGAGCAAGGGTGAAACAGGGGGAGCAAGGGTGAAACAGGGGGAGCAAGGGTGAAACAGGGGGAGCAAGGGTGAAACAGGGGGAGCAAGGGTGAAACAGGGGGAGCAAGGGTGAAACAGGGGGAGCAAGGGTGAAACAGGGGGAGCAAGGGTGAAACAGGGGGAGCAAGGGTGAAACAGGGGGAGCAAGGGTGAAACAGGGGGAGCAAGGGTGAAACAGGGGGAGCAAGGGTGAAACAGGGGGAGCAAGGGTGAAACAGGGGGAGCAAGGGTGAAACAGGGGGAGCAAGGGTGAAACAGGGGGAGCAAGGGTGAAACAGGGGGAGCAAGGGTGAAACAGGGGGAGCAAGGGTGAAACAGGGGGAGCAAGGGTGAAACAGGGGGAGCAAGGGTGAAACAGGGGGAGCAAGGGTGAAACAGGGGGAGCAAGGGTGAAACAGGGGGAGCAAGGGTGAAACAGGGGGAGCAAGGGTGAAACAGGGGGAGCAAGGGTGAAACAGGGGGAGCAAGGGTGAAACAGGGGGAGCAAGGGTGAAACAGGGGGAGCAAGGGTGAAACAGGGGGAGCAAGGGTGAAACAGGGGGAGCAAGGGTGAAACAGGGGGAGCAAGGGTGAAACAGGGGGAGCAAGGGTGAAACAGGGGGAGCAAGGGTGAAACAGGGGGAGCAAGGGTGAAACAGGGGGAGCAAGGGTGAAACAGGGGGAGCAAGGGTGAAACAGGGGGAGCAAGGGTGAAACAGGGGGAGCAAGGTGAGCAGGGAAGGGGATGGGGGGAAGCAGGGAAGGGGATGGGGGGGGTTAGGGAAGGGGGGATGCGGGGCTGGGAGGGGGACGGGGGGAAGGAGGGAAGGGGACGGGGGGAAGCAGGGAAGGGGACGGGTGGAAGCAGGGAAGGGGACGGGGGGAAGCAGGGAAGGGGAATGGGGGAAGCAGGGAAGGGGATGAAGGGGAACAGGGAAGGGGTTGTGGGGAAGCAGGGAAGGGGATGGGGGGAGGCAGGGGAGGGGACGGGGGGAAGGAGGGAAGGGGACAAGCAGGTAAGGGAAGGGGGAAGCAGGGAAGGGGATGGGGGGAAGCAGGGAAGGGGAATGGGGGAAGCAGGGAAGGGGATGAAGGGGAACAGGGAAGGGGTTGTGGGGAAGCAGGGAAGGGGATGGGGGGAGGCAGGGGAGGGGACGGGGGGAAGGAGGGAAGGGGACAAGCAGGGAAGGGGAAGGGGGGAAGCAGGGAAGGGGATGGGGGGAAGCAGGGAAGGGGAATGGGGGAAGCAGGGAAGGGGATGAAGGGGAACAGGGAAGGGGTTGTGGGGAAGCAGGGAAGGGGATGGGGGGAGGCAGGGGAGGGGACGGGGGGAAGGAGGGAAGGGGACAAGCAGGGAAGGGGAAGGGGGAAGCAGGGAAGGGGATGGGGGGAAGCAGGGAAGGGGAATGGGGGAAGCAGGGAAGGGGATGAAGGGGAACAGGGAAGGGGTTGTGGGGAAGCAGGGAAGGGGATGGGGGGAGGCAGGGGAGGGGACGCGGGAAGGAGGGAAGGGGACGGGGGGAAGCAGGCAAGGAAGGGGGGAGACAGGGAAGGGGATGGGGGAGGCAGGGAAAGGGATGGGGGGGAGCGGAAGGCGGAGGAGCGGAACAGAGAGGGGGAGAGAGCAAGGAGAGGTGTAACGCATGAGCCCTATGGTGGCCACCTCGTTGACATCGAACATGCCCTGATGAGGGGAGGGAAGGGAGCGAATGTAGGACGCGGAGGGGGAGAGAGGGAAGGGGCTATAGGTAGATACAAAGATGAAGAGAGAAAAGGGGAGGGAGGAGAGGGAGAGCACATGGTTGAAGAGACTTGAGAGGAGGAGACTGTGTCGTGAGAGTGAGGAACTGGGAACGAGGGGAATTGGGAGAGGTAGGTACTAACAGAAAGAGAACCAGGTGTGTGTAAAATAGGACACTCACTGTGCGTGGATGGGCAGAATTCAGAACCAGCACGTCAACCCCGCACGCCCCTCCCCCACCCAACCCCACTTTCCTCCTCCCCTCCCCCCCCCCCCCTTCCCCCCCTTCCCCCCTCCTCACTTTCCCCTCTCCTCCCCCCCCCTTCTGCCTTCCCCCCTCCTTTCCCCCCCCCCCCCTCCGCACCCACCCACATTCAGGATAGACGACTCACCGGGCGCGGATGGGCGGCATTCAACTCCGCACGGCCCTTCCTCACCACGCGCCTCCTCCCCGCGGAGCACGCTTTCCGCCTGGCGCACTGCGTCGTGCAGCACGTCCGCTCCCCCCTTGAGGTCGAACGGCAGCACCACCACCCCCTCCGGCGCGTGCGTTCCGCAGCAGGAGGCGCCCACTGCCTGCAGGCGCTCCGCGGAGCGCGCGGAGAGGATCAGCCGCGCGCCCATCGCCGCGAAACGCTGCGCCAGCTCCTGGCCTGGTACGGGGAGCGGGGCAGAGTGGGGCGCGAAGAGGGGGGCGGGAGAGGGGGGAGAGGGGGGAGCGGGGACCCGGGGGAAGGGAGACGTCGCGCGGAAGGGGGTGAGGATAGAGGGAGTGAGCAGGGGGAATGGGAGTGAACAGGAGAGAAGAGAGTGAAGGGGGGGAAGAGTGAGCAGGGGGGAAGAGAGAGAGAGAGTAGGATGGGGAATGGAGGGGATAAAGACGAGCAATGGGAGGGGTAGAGAAGGCGACTGGCGGGGAAGCGAGGGCGACTGGAGGAGAAGCCATTGCGACGGGCGGGCAAGAGAGAATGAGCAGGAGAGAGTGAAAGGCAATGGGAGGGAAAGTGAAGGCGACGGGTGGGGAAGCAAGTGCGACAGGCGGGGGAAGAAGGCGACGAAGGCGACGGGGAGGGGAAGTGACGGCAAGGGGTGGGGGGGGGGGAGTAAGGCGACGGGAGGGGGAAAAGTGAAGGAGACGGGGGGTGGGAAGTCGCGACGGGGTGGGGGAAGAGAAGGCGACGGGGGGGGGGGGGGGGGGGGGGCTGGCGCGGGGGGGAAGTGAGGGCGACGGGGTGGGGGAAATGAAGGCCACGGGGTGGGAAAAAGTGAAGGCGACGGGGGGTGGGAAGTCGCGACGGGGTTGGGGGGGTGACCGCGACGGGGAAGAGCAGGCGACGGTGGGCGGGGAGTGAAGGCGCCGGGCGGAGCGTTCGCGACGGGCTGGGGTCGCGAAGGCGTCGAGCTGCGGAAATGATGGCGACGACGCGGGCGACAGAGAGCGGAAGCGTGGGACCTAGGGAAAGGAAAGGAAAGCAAGGGGAGGATCATGCTTGGACGAACGGGTGTGATTCGATTTTCATCTGCGAGATTACGCTACGCAGTAGTTGCACAATAACCTGCTAACACTAGCTTTGCGCGTCAACATCTAAATCCGCGCCACCCACATCGTAAGGCGCATCTGAACCCTTTTGAGTGAACGCTCTCGCCCTGCCCTATCTACGAGTATGATCTATGCATCATACCATGAGTGCTATCTCAAACTGTGCACAGTTTGGTATGCACGGGCTTTTCTGGTTGTGGGAAGGACCCCACCCATCATGGGAAGCGAGAAACTTTTGTCGCAAGTTGTTTCGCGAGTTGAAAGTCTCTCGCAACCCAACCGAACCTCTCCGTGCCTGCCTCCCGAACCTAGTTTTTAGCGTTGACTTCCGTTGAGTAATTCAGGTCTTGGGCTTTAATTTGAAGGAAACGCAGTCGTAACTTTAACTGTGCGGTCGTAACTTGAACTACATACACGACTCGTGGCGCTGAAGTCTCATGCTACTACTTCAACTAGGGAAATTCGTGAACACGACGGATTCTTGATTGTCTGCAGGACATTTGAAAGCTCAGCCCCTGTACGTGGTGATCAGCGAACTTCAAATGTCAGAACAAGGCTCAGTTCGGCAGCCAGGGGGAAGAAAAATGTTCGGAAGGTAATCGGAAGGTAAGGTGGGCGTCAACCCAGGGTCAACGAATGTTGACCCTTGTTTCCGCGAATTGCGGAAAACCTGCGCCATCTGAAAGGTGGCGCAGGGTAGAGGGGGGAGGTATGTAAAATCGCCGCAGGTGCAGGCACATTTTCCATCAATTTCGCATGCCCAAGATCACTGTAGCGGGAAGTGAAAGGCCCGCCTCAAACAAAAAAAAAAAGGGTTGAAAGGCACGCTATAGGGGCAACCCTGCTGTAGAATAACCATCAATTAGGGTTTCTGTGTGCATAACCCTTGCCTCTTTAGGGCGCAATGTTGTCCCGAAATCAAAATTCTACGTGGAATCAAAAAGTTGATTCTTACATTTTCAAAGAATCACTTTCTTCTTCCGTCTCACTAGGGCGGAAGCTTTCCGCCAGGGGGGGAGAAGAAGGACAGAAGACGGCGCGGAATCAATTTTAGGTTGTGTTAGCGTTGCTGCTGCTAAACACCTGCGCTTCGATTTCTGGAAGTTTTAACCCTACAGCCCGCACTGTTTCGCCCTCGTTAATGCGATCAGAAACTTCGATGAAGACGGGAAAATTTTTCTTCCGTCCTTCTTCCGTGGCTGCCGAACCGGGCCCAAGTTCGGCAAGAAGGTCGCACACAGAGCGTCGAAATGCAGCATGCTAGGGAATTTGGCTTGAAATGCTGACGTGTTCATGTGGATGCTGGATGAAGCGTGTGATGACGATGGCCTGGGATGTCACCTTCTTCAGCAGACGTTGCACGCATAAATCATGAGTCACCCATCCATACTCTGTAAAAGCATCTCCGTGATCCTGAGATGCAAGAAGGAAAACGACGAAGTGCATAGCGTTTGTAGTGCAGCCGTTGGTCTTTGGTTTAGCGGTTTGATAACGGTTCCTCCCCTCTCCTCTTGCGTCCCCCAAGCTGGCGGTTTTGCCTGTTGCGCCGAAACCAAACGGGCTCCATGCTGGCACATTTTGTCTGCCCGTGCACTTGCATAGCACTGTGTCCCTGAACCGAGTCAACAAGCAGTCTGGTGGTACTTGCTAGTCAAAGGAACAAGAGATTCGTTGTTCAGGGGTACAGTACACGTATAGAACTCAAATGTACACAAGGTGACATCAGGGCTCGCAGCTGCAGAGAAATCTGAAACAATGTAGTGACATCGGGGCTTGCTTCCATGTACAGCGGAAGAAACCCGATCGTGTCCAAAGTTAGAGAGCCGGGTTCAGCAGAAACGAACGAAAACACTGACTCGACTCGGGTTACCTTCAGAGCGGCAGATTCTTGAACTGACCTGACACACCTGATCCTTGATGCACCCAGATTCTCTGAAATTTGAGGTCATGTGAAGCTTGAATCGGGCCAAGACCTTCATTGCAGCACAATCAAATCATCCGACGTGTGTGTGCGGTGCGGTGCCCCAGACCCAATGTCTTCATGAAACCGTTTTTCATTGGCGTAAGACAAAACGAACCGCCATAGGTTTGCCAGACCAGCCATAGCTTAGCCCAACCAACCAGACTCTCCCTCAAACCTCCGCAAACTGTCACCAAGCTTGATTACCAAACCACTAGGTTCTGCCGAATACGCACCTGTCGCGGTGGTCCGGCGAGAGAGCTCTAGCGTGCCCTCGCCCCCCTACGTTCGGAAATTCGAAGAACGAGTCAACGGCAGCAACTGCACGACCTGTTTTGATCTTGCTGATTTCACAACCTCCGCTCTGCAGCACCGCAACTTTCCTGCCATCGCTCCTTCCTTGGACCAGCCGGTTCCCCATACTTCCTCCCTCAAATCGCATATGTGAGGTACGTTTCTTGAAGCGGGGAAGTAGTTTGGTTGACTGCTCTCCTGTGCTTCTCGACTGTCATCATCTTCCGTGCCCTCGGCGTTTCCGGTTTCGATTCTCCGTGGCGCTTTCCCCGCAGTGCATTTCCACCTCGTTCGACCTTAGTTAGAGGGAGTTCGTTGTGCGTTCACTCAAGTACCTTACGTTCCTCTGCTTTCTAGTTCACGCATCCTAGCATCACCTTGCACGCAGCACCGACAGCTTTCTCTCAGATAGAACAGCATGGGTCCAAGGCATCCAATCACGCAACCTTCGGCCGTACAGCCAAAGTCGCGGTCATTCATTCAAGCAGACTCCACAGCAACGTTGCGCTCGTATACCGAATCTACGACTCCTGCGACCTCTTCTGACACATCAATCCGCTCCTCTGATTACTCCTCGATGGGTTTCTCGTCTCGCCGCAACACGTTGGACGTGCTGAGTCGACGAGCCATGTCGGGACCGATCGAGAGATCCCCAGCATGCATCCCATTTTCCTTCTCCCGCAGCAATGTGCTTCCCAGCCCGCTGGAGCCTTCCGCGTCGCTTCCGGCATCGTTCCGCACGACGAGCGCACATCCTGCAGCAGCGATCCCCCTCGCGACTGCGTTAAGCGATACTTGCGCTAATTCTGTCGCACATGCGACTGTCAGTCGTCGTCCGCTGAGTCAGCGGAGCGGTCCTATTTCGCAGCCGTTCACCGAAGCTCATAGATCGCTGTACCGCAGATCGCCAGTCGCGGTTTCAAATCCTATTGTTAGCGACTTTGACGGTTTATCCCGTAAATCCATGTCAGGACCCATCAACCCCTCGGCATCAGCGTCGATTTCGCAATCCTTTCTCCCTGCCGATTCCACCCAATCTGGGCCCATAAGTTTCTCTTCGCATCTTGGGAGGAACGGATCTCGACCGTCCGCGGCATCGTCTGGTTCGGAGCAGCCATTGGGCCGTTCACAAGGTCGGCGTGTTCGTTTCGCTGACGAAGAGCTGTCGGGGGACGTCAGGGCTGACGGTAACGGGAACCCGGTGATAGAGACAAAAAAGCAATTGCGTTTGAGTCACGCTTCTGCTCGCACAACTTTTTCCGGGCAGCACCTAAATGTGAATATACCGAGAAGGTGGTCCAGCATAAGTCAGTCAACGGCCGCCTTTGCTCTACCCCCTCCGCCTCTTTCTGCCGCGGGAGCTCCGTCAACACCTCCTGCCATAGTCACCTGATATATTCTTTCTTCGAACAACGATTAGGGACCCTATCACTACATATGTATCCTGCGGGAGCTCCGTCAACACCTCCTGCCACAGGGGGTTTTGGTTTTGACATTTTTAGGTTTGAGATAGTAAGACATATGCATGCTTTGTAAACTCCACCAATATCGCAAAAAAAAACATATGTGAAGCCTATTTTTGCGAAGTGCAATTTCTCACTTCGTATGCTGTTTTTACGACATAATCTCCTAACGCAGTTTTGTCCGTGAAGCTTATAGCGAGGAACTGCCTTCTCGAAGGTTCTTGACTGCTTGACTACATATTTCATTGACGATTCGACCACCCTGGTTCGTCTCGCGAATGTCCATACGTTTTCGCGATTTCGCATCATCAGCTTAAAGCCGTCAGATCTTATTATCCGGAATCTTCACGAAATATCTGTCGGTATCCGGATCTTATCATCCTCTCTCAAAACTGGACGGAAAATCGTCCGCCGTGGGATCTTCGCGAAGGTTGACGTTGTTCATGGAGTGTTTTCTAGTGCGATGCGGTTCGTTCTCCGCGTTTCGAGAATGTTCCGCGCTTCGCAATGCTGCCGCGCAGCCCCCAATTCAATGTCGATTGCCGGGGCCATTTCAGCTCATCAGTACGAGAATAAATTGCTTTTTTTCGCCATTTCTCTCGACAATCAAATAGACTCCTCAACGCGCTCTTCCAAAGCTCTCTTTGTCGTGCTCTTTTCCCTGATATTTACGCAAACTCCTAGTTTCTTCGATTTATCGCGTCACAAAGCTACGTCAACACAATGGCAGTGACAGAGGTTGTGAATGCCACCGCAGCGACTGGCGCTCCCATGGATGTGGCGGCTTCAACTCAAGGGGTCAACAAAAAGGCCGTAGCAGTTGAGGATAAGGAAACATTTGCCTTTCAGGCTGAAATCAACCAGGTTCGTCCATACCGCCTTTGTGTCAGACGCATGCATAAACTTCGATGCGTATTAGCGCGAAATGCTGAGTTTTATTTCCCTCCCTGATGGCCAAAAGTGGTACTACTGGTGGCTGATTTTTTTTTTTCTATGTCACCTCCCGACATTGTGCGTGCAGCTGCTGAGTCTCATCATCAACACCTTCTACAGCAACAAGGAGATCTTCCTTCGCGAGCTCATCAGCAACTCGTCCGACGCGCTCGACAAGATCCGATTCGCCTCGCTAACCGACAAATCCGTGCTCGAGTCGCAGCCGGAGCTGTTCATCCGCATCATGCCGGACAAGACAAACAAGACCCTCAGCATCATTGACAGCGGCGTGGGGATGACGAAAGCCGATTTGGTCAACAACCTCGGGACGATCGCGCGCTCCGGGACGAAGGAATTCATGGAAGCGCTGGAATCTGGTAGCGGCGACGTCAGCATGATTGGGCAGTTCGGCGTGGGTTTCTACGCGGCGTATCTGGTTGCGGATAAGGTAGTGGTAACCAGCAAGCATAACGACGACGAGCAGTACGTTTGGGAGTCCCAGGCTGGCGGTTCGTTCACGATTCGTCGCGACGCGGACGGAGAGAGGCTGGGACGCGGCACGAAGATCACGCTGCATCTGAAGGACGACCAGCAGGAGTATTTGGAGGAGCGGCGGATTAAGGACGTAGTTAAGAGGCACTCGGAGTTTATCAACTATCCCATTAACCTGTGGACGGAGAAAACAGTGAATAAGGAGATCGAAGAGGACGAGGACGACGAGGAGGAGGCGCTCGAAGCTACCAAGGAAGAGGAGGAGGGGAAGATGGAGGAGGTTGAGGATGAGGAGGGGAGCAGCAAGGGCGAAAAGAACAACAAGAAGACGAAAAAGACGAAGAAGGTGAAGGAGGTGACACACGAATGGCAACAGCTGAACAAACAAAAGCCGATCTGGTTGCGCAATCCCGAGGAGGTCACAAAGGAGGAATACGCCGCGTTTTACAAGAGCTTCACGAACGACTGGGAGGAGCATCTGGCCGTGAAGCACTTTTCCGTGGAGGGTCAGCTGGAGTTTAAAGCCCTGCTCTTCGTGCCGAAGCGCGCGCCGTTCGACCTGTTCGAAGGACGGCAGAAGAAACTGCGAAACGTGAAGCTGTACGTGCGGCGCGTGTTCATCTCGGACGATTGCGAGGAGCTCATGCCGGAATACCTCTCCTTCGTGAAGGGCGTGGTTGACTCGGAAGACTTGCCTCTCAATGTCTCCCGGGAGATGCTCCAGCAGAACAAGATCCTCAAGGTCATCCGGAAGAACCTCGTTAAGAAGTGCCTCGAGATGTTTACAGAGATTGCTGAGAACAAGGACGACTATAACAAGTTTTACGAGGCGTTCAGCAAGAGCATCAAGCTGGGGGTGTACGAGGACTCTCAGAACCGCGCGAAACTCTCAGAGCTCCTCCGATTCCACTCCACCAAATCCGGCGACGAAGCCACCAGTCTAAAGGACTACGTTACCCGCATGAAAGAAGGGCAGAGCAGCATTTACTACATCACGGGCGAGAGCAGGCGAGCCGTGGAGAACTCTCCGTTCCTGGAGAAGCTGAAAAAGAGGGGGCTGGAGGTACTATTCATGGTGGATCCGATCGATGAGTATGTGGTGCAGCAGCTCAAGGACTTTGATGGCAAGAAGCTGGTCTCCGCCACCAAGGAAGGGTGAGTGCTCTCCTCCCTTCGCGTTCCTTCACCTCTGTTCTGCACCTTTCTGCCCTCTTATGCTCCATTCCATTCCTCTCTCTTCCCGTCTGATCTGAATTCCTGTTCATGGCTCTCAATTCTCTCACTTTGATTCAATTTGCTGTGCTGCAAAGTTCTGGTGTGAATGTACGCTTGCTGGTTTGCCTCTTGCTCATATTCTCCTTTCTTTATTTCAGGTTGAAGCTGGATGAGCCCGAGGAGGAGAAGAAGAAATTCGAGGAGCTGAAGAAGGAGTTCACCGACACATGCAAGGCGATGAAAGACATGCTGGGCGACAAGGTCGAGAAGGTGACTGTAGGCGAGCGCATCGTGGAGTCCCCTTGCGTTTTAGTCACGGGCGAGTACGGCTGGACCGCCAACATGGAACGCATCATGCGAGCGCAGGCTTTAAGGGACAACTCCATGTCGCAGTACATGACCAGCCGGAAAACCATGGAGATTAACCCTCACAACAGCGTTATTCAGGAGCTCAAGAGGAGGATTGAGGCAGATAAAACTGACAAGACTGTGCGGGATTTGGTGTTCCTGCTGTTTGAAACCGCTCTGCTGACCTCGGGATTCTCCCTTGATGAGCCGCAGGCACTGGCTGGACGGGTGCACAGGATGATCAGTCTTGGACTGAGCATTGATGAGAATATGGATGAGGAGGTTGGGGAGGAGGAGGCAGGGGAGGTGGAGGGGGAGAGCAGGATGGAGGAGGTGGATTAGGTTTAGAGGAGCATGTGGGGAAGATTGTTGGATAAGGTGGTTGGGTGATTAGTCGATCACTGAAATACTTGTGCCTATAGGATGGTACGGTAGTTGGTGGTGGTGATTGGGATACTGGAGGGTGTCTTGCTTGAGGGTTTGTGGGTGGAGGGTGTGGGTATAGAGTACCCAAAACTTGTACAAATGATTGTCTGCATGTACTGTTTTAGAGAATGAATAATGAGTATCCATGTGTGTGTGAGCCATGTTGCTGTGCAACTGTGTAATCTCACGTATGAATAAGCATGGTTATGAAAATCAAGGTCAATGTGCAGTTAGCTCAGACTATACTGTGGTATGTACCCAAGGCAAAACGAAACACAAGGTAATTTCAAGATTTCAGTAGAGTGCATGGCTAATAACCTACTCTCTATATATTACTTCTCCAGCTGCTACTATAGCTAAAACCTGGCTTGACGTGTGTGTTTAGAAGAAAGGAGGGAACATGATCCATCGTCGAGGGTACTTGGGACGGCCCTCCTTTCCGTCAAAGAGCTGAGCACATTAGGGAGAAGTGAAGGGAACACACACAAGGTGGAAATAACTTGATGATGAGCGGACTGGAATCAGGAATGAAACAGATGTACTATGTGGCATAGAGTAAATGGTAAAACGCCATTGGAAGCAATTCAAGCGGTTCTTCAAATGAAGAATCTAAGTGAGGACTGCATGTCGGGGAAATTGGTAGGATGGCTTCATTTTGACCGACAGGAGTTGCCCTTTGCAGACTCAGGACAAAACATTGCATTGTCAGTGCATCATTCATGCAGCCCTTACCTGTAACCCAGCTTCCTCTATAACCCTTCAAAGCCATCCTATACCGCCTCCTATCAACCACCACAGCATCTCATAAAAGCGCCAAGACGGCGGACATTCAAGGACTTACACACGCGTGAAGCGCACTAGCTGGTTAAACAGCTGTTCCGACCGTCGAAATACTGAATAAGCACAGTCTCAGGTAAACATCGACAATCCAAACAGCCCACAGCAGCCCATACCACAACTTCATAGAGACTGCATGTCAGTGACATTTGGAAGTTGGCTTCACTCCGACCAACAGGTGTTACCCGTGGCAGGCTCAGTACAAAGCAATGAATTATCTGACATCATCCATGCAGCCCCCCCGACCCCATGCAGCCCACCTGCCAGTTCCCCTCCTTTTACATGGGACAGGAAGGACCTGCCCACCCAAACCCAATATATTATAAACCTTAAGAAAACGGACATGATAGACACAATCTCCTTCAAAAAGCGGAAACCAAACTGATAAAAGCACCTCCCCTGGCGCCTAGGTAATCGACAGTGAAAGACCTATCTGTGCAGACACATACGACAGCACTCAAAGCTCCACATCATTGTCCCACCAAAGACTGCATGTCAGGGACAGTAACAGGATGGCTTCACTCTGACCAACAGGTCAGACTCAGGACAAAGCATTGCATTGTCTGACATCATCCATGCAGCCCTTGGCCCCAGTCAGTTCTCCCCATTTGACTTCAAACATCACCTCAGAAGGTGTCTTAGAAAATGGCAGGACAAACCAAACCATCCCGAGAAAAAGGAACGTAGTCAAGGCCCTCAGTATATTACCCCACCAAAGAACTGCATGTCAGGGACATTGATAGGATGGCTTCACTCTGACCAACGGGTGACACCCGTGGCAGATTCAGGACAAAGCATTGCATTGTCAAGCATCATCCATGCAGCCCTGAAAGAGTCATCTGCAAGTCCCCCCCTCCCCCCTCAACAAGTTAACCCGCTAGGGAGTGCATGCAAGTCGAATTCAGGAGCAGATACCATACTTCAGAAGGTGTCTACGAAAAGGAGGAGCAGACAGAGAAACAGAACAGCATTTAAAGATCCCAGTATATCCCCCCACCAAAAAAACTGCATGTCAGGGACATTGATAGGACGGCTTCACTCTGACCAACGGGTGTTACCCGTGGCAGACTCAGGACAAAGCATTGCATTGTCTGACATCTTTCATGCAGTCTATCCCTGGGCTGTGCCTGCCCAATCTCTGCCCTATCCCCGTAAATGCATCAAGCCCTTCCCGTTTCCTGCCCAGTCTCCAATCACAACCCGTGAGTGCATGAAGCCCATCCAATTACTGAGAGTCCGCAGGTTGGAAAATAACGAGTCAAGGAGGCGACTGTGCTACAGCCGCTGAGGAAACGGAAGCGAAGGACCTTAATCATGCTCTCCAACTCTCTCCCTCCGCCCCCCATCCTCGCACTACGACGACGAACGGGGAGGACTAAAGGGTACGGGTTTTCAAGAAGAACTCGACAACATGCTTTACTATATCGGGGATACGAGAGCGCCAGGATTACTATATCACTGAACCAGGATTCCTACCTTCCTGTGGCATTCAGGCTTAGCGAGGTCTTAAGAAACCAGATGAGCAATCGCTGCGTGCTTGGCAAAGGCCCTAAACCCGAAATGCTGACGTCGACTCAACAATATGAGTATGAAAGGAGAGGAGGACGCGGAGAGGCGGAACGAAAATGTGTAAGTGAAAGGATAAGTGTGAAAGGTGGAGAGAGAGTGATAGAGAGTGATGTCTGTTCTCACCTTGACGAGGCGCTTGTGCTTGGCGAGGGCCCACTCGGCCATCTGCATGGTGCCGGCGAGCATGAAGAGGTAGCCGGCGACGGTCTGCGTGGCGATGTTGAAGCCCAGCCACGCCGTGATCTCCGTCGTGTAGTTGGCGCACGTGATGAAGTTGAACAGGAAGCCCGAAGGGATCTGGTACCCTGAGCTCGAGCCGGACCTGCAGGGCGGAGAAATGCAAGAGAGTTACAAAGGGGGAAAAGGGGGAAGAAGGGACGGGGATATTCACGCTGTTTACTGGTGCAAACGACTCTTACGAATCTATGCGATCCGAATGAGCGGAAACGAATGAGCCTTTCAGAGAATGGAAATTTCGCACGTTGTGATAATTGACTCACTTTGACTTGAACCCACCTCAAGTTCCTCAAAATGATGTGACAGTAGAGGTTGGAGAGCTGGTTGACTATAGCGATGCCGAATCCGATCAACATCTGGGTCTCGCTGACGGGCGTGTACAGCGGGTGGTTCACAAAGAACGAGACGAAAGCTGCGAAAGTCCAGTAGTAACCGCAGTTACGGAACAGGTTCTGAAGCGGCATCGTGCCATGGCTGAACCGGTGGACGAAAAAAGTCTCAAGAATGCGCTTCGTGTAGTGGAAGGACCAGTAGATGAGTGCGTAGGTCTGGACATCTTTAAGTTTCTGCAGGAAGGCATGGCGGTAAGTACAAAGAATGGAGAATGTCAGGAGAACAGCACGAAATAAGCGCAATTGTGAAAACAGCGGGACCCGGAAAATAAGGGTGACCTAAGCGCGAGAGGATCAGGAAGCACTTGAAAAGCCAAACCCAGGAATAAGGAATATGAGGAAGATCTTACCCTCTTGGCACCGTCCACATAGAACACTTGCGGGAAGAAGTAAAAGAGCGAGTAGAGGACCAGAGGGCCGAAGTATTCCCAGAAGAAGACCGTCTTAAAGCCGATCTGAGGGCCGAGATCCTTAAAGACGACGTCCAATGTGGTTCCAGTGGAGTAATCCGCGAGCCTCTTCTTGGCGTCCAGAACGACGGGTTTGGCACCTGATGCCGGCGCTGGGAGAGTGAATCTCTGCCTTGCAGGATACCATTTTTTATCTGCGGAAGCGCAGTGGTCATCCCAGGAGATAAATCAATTACCAAAAAAAGGAATGAGTCAAACTATAACGAAATATTACTTCAGGTATGGCGCGTCATGGTCTGTATTACGGTCTATCCAAATGCTGCGACTTACTCGTTTTGTGAAGGGCTTTCTGGAGATCTGCTACAGTGGCCTGCACAGGGACGATACTCGTGGAAAACAGTTAAGCTCACAAGGCATTCATCAAGCTGGTGAAATTGAACGAGAGAGTGCTAATAAGGACAACTTGGGCTGCAGAAATGTATTACGCGAGCGGCTCGGCTCTACGATCAAGTTTCTCAAGGAATAGCCACGCATACAGGTGCTTAAGTAAGCGTAGAATGCAATGTAGGCACCTCATCCGGAAGTTGGAGGCCGCCTTTGACGATCTCTTTTCCAGATCGCGAAAAGACGTTGACCTTCATGCTGAGAAGGTGCCGATCAACTGTCTTCCTGATATGAAAGTAGGCCTTTCTAGCACTCCTCGGAGTACGGCACCAAAATGCGTGGACACTAAAACAGGCCGACACGCCTAAGGACAGGAAGGACAATGGAAACTAGGACATTGTCTCAAGAGACTAACATAGCTCCAACCAAGGGGAGGGGGATAAGAATAAGATGAGAGAGAATGAGATAGCGAGGTATGAGAAGAGATTGAGAAAGGTGGAGAGAGTTATGGTTCTGGTTGGGTGCTGATGTGGTTTCTGGTGGGTGGGCCTCGGCATTCTCGACGCGAGCGAGATCTTCGCCTCGGTTTCCGTGATTGGAAGTTGCTGCTTTTGGCGCCAAAATGGGCTGACAGATTCTGAAGTCAAATACGCGATTGTGACGAGAGTGGTGCGAATAGATACGCCGAACACAATGGTGAGATAGGTACACAGCTTTCCATTCCAGTATGTGTGCAATTCTGTTAAATTCACTATTCCCAAGCAGGGTGATCCTCCATTGAGTTTCTAGGGGGCCTTGGTTTCCAGTCTGGCACTTCATCCCAGAAGAAGTTGTAGTAGATATGGCCTGAACATAGAAAAATCAAGGCAAAAGAGAATACCACAATTACCAAAACGTTGTGAGAAAGATGTCGGATATCAACCGAACGAAAGTACCACGGAGATGGTTCCAAAAGCCAGAGTCATACCTGGATGGGCATGCACGCAGCACCAGATGCCTGTGTAGTGCCGCAATCTCCATCTGAATTTCTTCTCAAGCTCCTGCACGGAAAAAAAAAATAAGGAAGATATGATGGCGCCGCTAAAGTCAGAAGCAGCTTCTATTCTGTGACCTGAACCATCCCTTCAGGATCATTCAGTCCATATCATCACAATGTTTTTTTACAAACCCTCCCCTCCCTCCCCCCTCTCCCCTCCCCTTTTCATGTCATTCCACCAGCTCTCACCTTGTCATCCCATCCACCGAACACGCCGTGCAGAGAACTGAATTCGATCCACTTCACATCTGAAAAGCGCGATAATGCATCCCTCAACTGGAACCCAAGAAAGGAATCAGGCAACGAGCACAGGAACAGGGAAGGGGAGAGAAACAAGGAATTAGACTGGCATGATACAGCAAAAGTCAGGGAAAGAGCAGGGACGATAAAGACACAAAGAGCTTGTTCAAGAGCAGAGGGGGCATGGTTAGAGTGAAAGGTAGCAAACAATTACAGTGACATATTCTGTCTGCACTGTGGCACTCAGCAGTTCAGCGCACCTGCTTCTCTCGTACGCCTCTCCTGAGCACGAGATCGTGTGTGTGGGCTCTGGGAAGATCCTGACCGTCCGTTTCCGTGGGGCAATTAGGAGCAGTGTCGTTGCAGATGTGCACAGAGAGCTTGGAGGCTCGGAGCTGAGGGGACAGGAAGGATGGGGGGAGGGGTGGAAGAAAGGGTGGAGGAGAGGGTGGAGGAGAGGGTGGGGGAGAGGGAGGAGGAGAGGGAGGAGGAGAGGGAGGAGGAGAGGGTGGGGGAGAGGGTGGGGGAGAGGGTGGAGGAGCGGGTGGGGGAGAGGGTGGAGGGCGGGCAGGCACTCAATAAAGTAGAGTGCCATTACACAGCTGTCCTCTTTCAGGACACGAGGGTTGTCAATGAAAGAGTACTCCAAAGACACAAGTGCCTATTGAATCTAGCCAGCGTTTCAACACTATACAGCTCACCTCTTTTGGGACACGAGGGTTGTCAAGGAAAGAGTATTCCCGGAAGGATATTGCTGGGCCGAACTCCTCTTCTGGAAGCTTCCCCGGAAGCATCCTGTCCACCTGAATGGCGACGAGGGAGGAGGACGGTTAAGGGGGTGGAAGGGTGCTTGTGGGGGGTCGTGGATGGTTCAATGTGGCGTGGTATGGTATGGTATGGTATGGTATGGTATGGTATGGTATGGTATGGTATGGTATGGTATGGTATGGTATGGTATGGTATGGTATGGTATGGTACAGTATGGCATGGTATGGGACGGTTTGGTATGGTATGGTATGAGATAGTAAGGATGGTTCAGTGGAATAGAGACAAACAGGGTTTAGAATTTGAGCACGAAGAAAACTGTAGAGAGAATGTCCATACCGGATATATTCAGATACGTGTAGAGAGACGGTACATTGAGGATATGGTCGAGTGGGCAGAGGAACGGCTGTGGCGTTGCAGTGTTATCGAGTATGCCTCTATGGGGGTACCAGATGCGATCGAATCGAGCCCACGTGCTTGGCATGACCTGATGGTGAACGGGTGGATGGAAAGACATGCACACACACACACAAGCATGCATGCATGTCAGAACTACCTTTACTGGGTACCAGGTACCACATGCGGTCCAATCGAGCCCATCTGCTTGGCATAACCTAATGGTGAGGGGGGGGATGGAAACACATGCACATGCACGTATCAAGGCAGCCTATATCGGTACCGGGAATACATAGCAATTGAATCAGACCCACATGCTCCACTTTTATCTCACTCCAAATTTTCCTAGATTGCCTTGACTCATCACTTAAGGCTAGAGCACTTCTGAGACTAAACCATTGACTTGCCTTGACTTACCTGTGACTACCTTGACTTGCATTGATCCACAAGAGTTTGGTCAAGGATGTGAGGAACAAGAGTTGCTGGTGGTTGACCGGGTGGAAATGCGTTGAGAGGGTGTGATTGCCGCCAGTGCACCAGATACACTGTTGACTTGAGTTGACTTTGCCATTGACTGGTAGTTGACTTGGGTTGACATGAGTTGACTCACGAGGGTTCGGTTGAGAATGAGGGCAATGGCTAGAGCAGATCGAATGCTCTTCAGTTGATAGTTGACCAAGTGGAAATGCGTTGAGAGGGTGTGATCGCCGCCCGCCAGCAGCTCCTCAGGAATGTCATTGACGAATGAGACGATGCCACCTGGCGGGTCGTAGTACTCTGGGGGGTCGTAAAAGGCCATGGCCTCTCGGAAGCGATGGCGCTTGCCTGGTGGGGATGGGGTTGGTGGATGGGGGGCATGATGAATGATGCATGTGGGAAGAGAGTCAGTGACGGGTGAATAGTGAGGATCGTGGTACTCTGGAGGGTCAACTGGATTCAAGGCCATGGCCTCTCGAAAGCGATGGCAATTGCCTGGAGGTGGGAACGGTGGATGACGGATGACTTAGAGAGAAAGCATTTACTTTACATGTCATGGTGAGCAGAGCAGTGAAGTGCATTTGCTTAGAGTGCAACCTAGGGAACATCAAGTTGGATTCCCTTAACCATATTGATCCATTTTTGAGGCACCTCAAAAGCAGTGAAGTGCATTTGCCTTGGTCCACGCGCGCGCCTTGGCCCAGGCGCGCGACTTGGTCCAGGCGCGCGACTTGGTCCAGGCGCACGCCTTGGTCCAGGCGCGCGCCTTGGACCGGGCGCGCGTTGGTCCGGGCGCGCGCCTTGGTCCGGGCGCGCGACTTGGTCCGGGCGCGCGCCTTGGTCCGGGCGCGCGCCTTGGTCCGGGCGCGCGCCTTGGTCCGGGCGCGCGCCTTGGTCCGGGCGCGCGCCTTGGTCCGGGCGCGCGCCTTGGTCCGGGCGCGCGCCTTGGTCCGGGCGCGCGCCTTGGTCCGGGCGCGCGCCTTGGTCCGGGCGCGCGCCTTGGTCCGGGCGCGCGCCTTGGTCCGGGCGCGCGCCTTGGTCCGGGCGCGCGCCTTGGTCCGGGCGCGCGCCTTGGTCCGCGCGCGCGCCTTGGTCCGCGCGCGCGCCTTGGTCCGCGCGCGCGCCTTGGTCCGCGCGCGCGCCTTGGTCCGCGCGCGCGCCTTGGTCCGGGAGCGCGCCTTGGTCCGGGCGCGCGCCTTGGTCCGGGCGCGCGCCTTGGTCCGCGCGCGCGCCTTGGTCCGGGCGCGCGCCATGGTCCGGGCGCGCGCCTTGGTCCGGGCGCGCGCCTTGGTCCGGGCGCGTGCCTTGGTCCGCGCGCGCGCCTTGGTCCGCGCGCGCGCCTTGGTCCGCGAGCGCGCCTTGGTCCGGGCGCGCGCCTTGGTCCGGGCGCGCGCCTTGGTCCGGGAGCGCGCCTTGGTCCGGGAGCGCGCCTTGGTCCGCGAGCGCGCCTTGGTCCGGGCGCGCGCCTTGGTCCGCGCGCGCGCCTTGGTCCGCGCGCGCGTTTGGTCCGGGCGCGCGCCTTGGTCCGGGCGCGCGCCTTGGTCCGGGAGCGCGCCTTGGTCCGGCGCGCGCCTTGGTCCGGGCGCGCGCCTTGGTCCGGGAGCGCGCCTTGGTCCGGGAGCGCGCCTTGGTCCGCGAGCGCGCCTTGGTCCGGGCGCGCGCCTTGGTCCGCGCGCGCGCCTTGGTCCGCGCGCGCGTTTGGTCCGGGCGCGCGCCTTGGTCCGGGCGCGCGCCTTGGTCCGGGAGCGCGCCTTGGTCCGGGCGCGCGCCTTGGTCCGGGCGCGCGCCTTGGTCCGGGCGCGCGCCTTGGTCCGCGCGCGCGCCTTGGTCCGCGCGCGCGCCTTGGTCCGCGAGCGCGCCTTGGTCCGGGCGCGCGCCTTGGTCCGGGCGCGCGCCTTGGTCCGGGAGCGCGCCTTGGTCCGGGAGCGCGCCTTGGTCCGCGCGCGCGCCTTGGTCCGGGCGCGCGCCTTGGTCCGGGCGCGTGCCTTGGTCAGCGCGCGCGCCTTGGTCCGGGCGCGCGCCTTGGTCCGGGCGCGCGCCTTGGTCCGGGCGCGCGCCTTGGTCCGGGAGCGCGCCTTGGTCCGGGAGCGCGCCTTGGTCCGCGCGCGCGCCTTGGTCCGGGCGCGCGCCATGGTCCGGGCGCGCGCCTTGGTCCGGGCGCGCGCCTTGGTCCGGGCGCGTGCCTTGGTCCGCGCGCGCGCCTTGGTCCGCGCGCGCGCCTTGGTCCGCGAGCGCGCCTTGGTCCGGGCGCGCGCCTTGGTCCGGGCGCGCGCCTTGGTCCGGGAGCGCGCCTTGGTCCGGGAGCGCGCCTTGGTCCGCGAGCGCGCCTTGGTCCGGGCGCGCGCCTTGGTCCGCGCGCGCGCCTTGGTCCGCGCGCGCGTTTGGTCCGGGCGCGCGCCTTGGTCCGGGCGCGCGCCTTGGTCCGGGAGCGCGCCTTGGTCCGGCGCGCGCCTTGGTCCGGGCGCGCGCCTTGGTCCGGGAGCGCGCCTTGGTCCGGGAGCGCGCCTTGGTCCGGGCGCGCGCCTTGGTCCGGGCGCGCGCCTTGGTCCGGGCGCGCGCCTTGGTCCGGGCGTGTGCCTTGGTCCGGGGCGCGCCTTGGTCCGGGCGCGCCCCTTGGTCCGGGCGCGCCCTTGGTCCGGGCGTGCGCCTTGGTCCGGGGCGCGCCTTGGTCAAGGCGCGCGCCTTGGTCCGGGCGCGCGCCTTGGTCCGGGCGCGCGCCTTGGTCCGGGAGCGCGCCTTGGTCCGGGAGCGCGCCTTGGTCCGGGCGCGCGCCTTGGTCCGGGCGCGCGCCTTGGTCCGGGCGCGCGCCTTGGTCCGGGCGCGCGCCTTGGTCCGGGCGCGCGCCTTGGTCCGCGCGCGCGCCTTGGTCCGGGCGCGCGCCTTGGTCCGGGCGAGCGCCTTGGTCCGGGCGCGCGCCTTGGTCCGGTCGCGCGCCTTGGTCCGGTCGCGCGCCTTGGTCCGGTCGCGCGCCTTGGTCCGGTCGCGCGCCTTGGTCCGGGCGCGCGCCTTGGTCCGGGCGCGCGCCTTGGTCCGGGCGCGCGCCTTGGTCCGGGCGCGCGCCTTGGTCCGCGCGCGCGCCTTTGTCCGGGCGCGCGCCTTGGTCCGGGCGCGCGCCTTGGTCCGGGAGCGCGCCTTGGTCCGGGCGCGCGCCTTGGTCCGGGGGCGCGCCTTGGTCCGGGGGCGCGCCTTGGTCTGGCGCGCGCCTTGGTCCGGGCGCGCCCCTTGGTCCGGGCGCGCGCCTTGGTCCGGGCGCGCGCCTTGGTCCGGGGCGCGCCTTGGTCCGGGGCGCGCCTTGGTCCGGGCGCGCCCCTTGGTCCGGGCGTGCGCCTTGGTCCGGGGCGCGCCTTGGTCCGGGCGCGCGCCTTGGTCCGGGCGCGCGCCTTGGTCCGGGCGCGCGCCTTGGTCCGGGCGCGCGCCTTGGTCCGGGCGCGCGCCTTGGACCGGGCGCGCGCCTTGGTCCGGGCGCGCGCCTTGGTCCGGGCGCGCGCCTTGGTCCGGGCGCGCGCCTTGGTCCGGGCGCGCGCCTTGGTCCGGCGCGCGCCTTGGTCCGGGCGCGCGCCTTGGTCCGGGCGCGCCTTGGTCAAAGCGCGCGACTTGGTCCACGCGCGCGCCTTGGTCCAGGCGCGCGCCTTGGTCCAGACGCGCGACTTGTTCCAGACGCGCGACTTGGTCCAGGCGCGCACCTTGGTCCAGGAGCGCGCCTTGGTCCAGGAGCGCGCCTTGGTCCACGCGCTCGCCTTGGTCCATGCGCGCGCCTTGGTCTAGGCGGCGCCTTCGTCCAGGCGCGCGCCTTGGTCCACGCGCGTGCCTTGGTCCACGCGCGCGCCTTGATCCACGCGCGCGCCTTGGTTCACGCGCGCGCCTTGGTCCACGCGCGCGCCTTGGTCCACGCGCGCGCCTTGGTCCAGGCGCGGGCCTTGGTCCAGACGCGCGACTTGGTCCAGAGGCGCGACTTGGTCCAGGCGCGCGCCTTGGTCCAGGAGCGCGCCTTGGTCCAGGAGCGCGCCTTGGTCCAGGAGCGCGCCTTGGTCCGCACGCGCGCCTTGGTCCACGTGCGCGTCTTGGTTCACGCGCGCGCCTTGGCCCAGGCGACGCCTTGGTCAAGGCGCGCGCCTTGGTCCTTGCGCGCGCCTTGGTCCACGCGCGCGCCTTGGTCCTGGCCCGCGACTTGGTCCGCGCGCGCGCCTTGGTCCGGGAGCGCGCCTTGGTCCACGCGCGCGCCTTGGTCCGGGCGCGCGCCTTGGTCCGGGCGCGCGCCTTGGTCCACGCGCGCACCTTGGTCCACGCGCGCGTCTTGGTCCACGCGCGCGCCTTGGCCCAAGCGGCGCCTTGGTCAAGGCGCGCGCCTTGGTCCACGCGCGTGCCTTGGTCCACGCGCGCGCCTTGGTCCACGCGCGTGCCTTGGTCCGCGCGCGCGCCTTGGTGCGGGCGCGCGCCTTGGTCCACCCGCGCGCCTTGGTCCACGCGCGCGTCTTGGGCCACGCGCGCGCCTTGGCCCAGGCGGCGCCTTGGTCCACGCGCGCGCCTTGGTCCGCGCGTGCGGCTTGGTCCGCGCGCGCGCCTTGGTCCGCGCGCGCGCCTTGGTCCGGGCGCGCGCCTTGGTCCGCGCGCGCGCCTTTCTCCGGGCGCGCGCCTTGGTCCGCGGCGCGCCTTGGTCCGGGCGCGCGACTTGGTCCGGGCGCGCGCCTTGGTCCGCGCGCGCGCCTTGGTCCGGGCGCGCGCCTTGGTCCGGGCGCGCGCCTTGGTCCGGGAGCGCGCCTTGGTCCGGGAGCGCGCCTTGGTCCGCGCGCGCGCCTTGGTCCGCGAGCGCGCCTTGGTCCGGGCGCGCGCCTTGGTCCGGGCGCGCGCCTTGGTCCGCGCGCGCGCCTTGGTCCGCGCGCGCGCCTTGGTCCGCGCGCGCGCCTTGGTCCGCGCGCGCGCCTTGGTCCGCGCGCGCGCCTTGGTCCGCGCGCGCGCCTTGGTCCGGGCGCGCGCCTTGGTCCGGGCGCGCGCCTTGGTCCGGGCGCGCGCCTTGGTCCGCGCGCGCGCCTTGGTCCGCGCGCGCGCCTTTGTCCGGGCGCGCGCCTTGGTCCGGGAGCGCGCCTTGGTCCGGGAGCGCGCCTTGGTCCGGGAGCGCGCCTTGGTCCGGGCGCGCGCCTTGGTCTGGCGCGCGCCTTGGTCCGGGCGCGCGCCTTGGTCCGGGCGCGCGCCTTGGTCCGGGCGTGTGCCTTGGTCCGGGGCGCGCCTTGGTCCGGGCGCGCCCCTTGGTCCGAGCGCGCCCCTTGGTCCGGGCGTGCGCCTTGGTCCGGGGCGCGCCTTGGTCCGGGCGCGCGCCTTGGTCCTGGCGCGCACCTTGGTCCGGGCGCGCG